AGTGTTACTGATGTCCAGTCTTCTGTCTTATAAAGTGTTACTGATGTCCAGTCTTCAGTCTTTTAAAGTGTTACTGATGTCCAGTCTTCTGTCTTATAGAGTGTTACTGATGTCCAGTCTTCAGTCTTTTAAAGTGTTACTGATGTCCAGTCTTCTGTCTCAGGTATGCTGTGTCCATGGCGAGGAAGATCGGAGCTAAAGTCTACGCACTGCCTGAGGACTTGGTAGAAGTCAACCCTAAAATGGTGATGACCATCTTTGCCTGCCTGATGGGGAGAGGCATGAAGAAGGCTTAAAGCAGCAACAGACACACACATGAAATATTTGAATTATCAAAAAGCAATAAAGATCCATTTTTAAATTTGTGGTTTTGCATTTTTAAGAACATCATTTCTCCCTGTGGTTGATGAGGAACAGCTTGAGATGTAAAAGCTGTGAGCTTTTCTTGTTTGAAAGGATTTTGATTCAGTTCTTTGTTTTTCCACCTTTAAGCACTCATGTGAAATCTGTTTCAGAGGCTGAACCTTTAAAAACATTTACAAATGTTGTGTTTATTGTCCAAACCTGGTTGTTTTTATATATTTTATTTTTATACAACTGTTTACTCTGAAAATCTGAGTTTTTTCTTCTTTCATTAGGATAAATGAAATATAATTGAGACTGAAAGGAATATTTCAACTCAACCCACAGAACTGTCCTCTTTGGTAAAACTTGAATCTATTTAGTCCCTCAGTAAAATGTAAAATGTGCATAAATCATGTTAACCATGTCTCTCAGTAAATCCAGCATCTGTTTCCCATTGATGGCTGAAAAGGATCATTTTAATCAGATAGAAAAATGCAATAAACTAAAAAATACAACTGGGTTTCATAAATGTGTGTTTTTTCCCTCCATGAAGCACCTGCAACATTACATCTACTCACTAACATTAAAGCACATTTTAAGCTATTTTTGATTGTGGCCAAGAAAACAATACTTCTTTACTGGAAAAACAGAAAAGAATCTACTAATACYATCTTAATATGTGTTCTCTAGTTATCCTTAATTATTTCCAATTCTTCTGTGACACTATTTATGTTCTGTGTTTTATCTCTGTCCTAAATGTATTCTTTAAAAAAAAAAGACAATTTATTTTCTGCTGTCAGAATTCTAACAAATGRTGAAATACGTGCAACTAGGTGGCATGTTCCAATACTGACATCATCTTTTTTTTGGCTAAAAAATGACATCATCTATTTCAGAGCTTGACTCTTGTTGCTCCACACAGGTCTTGTTCAAATATTCACTCTTAACAGGTTAAGAATTATTTCTACACATTTTCATAGATTGCCATCTCTCAAAACGTTGTCAAGCAGTGTATTAATAAAAATAATAATTAACAAAACCATTCCACATTAAAACTTATGAAACATATGACAGGTGACGAGGAGCACCTCCTTCCTTTGGACTCAGGTGCAGACAGAGCACGAGGGGCTCCAGAAAAACAGTGAAGTGTATTTTGTGGCAGTGAACACTTTCACAGGGACTCACACGGGAGAACTCGACCTGTTATGGAAAAAAATAATTATTAATGACAGAGCTGTGAGAAACAAAGGGAATGAAATAATAGACACTAATGAGAGAAATGTCTGCAGCTGAGATGAGTTAAAAATGGGGAACAGGTGGGTGTGGCTGGTGGCACGGGGG